TCATGCCTGCCCCTTTATGCCTGATGGATGATTTGTTGACTTCTGTGTATAAATGGGTATAATGAGGATGATCCTCACAGGTGCAAATTGATTGAAAGGAATAATTTTAGTATAGTTTTCTGCTTCCTTCTGTTTTCTGCTTTTACAGAGCTGGCAAGAACAAAACAAAGGTTTTTTCCTGTGTATGTGTGTGTCTGGGTTCTGATGGGAGACTTTCGAACTTAATACCTGGGAGGTGTTTGTTGCTAAGGCCAGTTGTTTTTCATTTACATGTGTTAATATGTCAGGAAAAAGCTACTGCTTTGTTTTAGGCAGTAATGAAAGCAGGGGCTTTGGAGTGTGCTCCAAGGGGGGGTACTTTGATTCTTGTGAGGCACAGGGTTATTTTGTTCTTGAAGAATAGGGACCTCTTTAGGCAACTGTTGGTTTTCCAAGTTCTTAGTTGAGCCAGTGTCTGTTTCAAACATCAGTGTTCTCTGTGCACTCATTTTCCATGCAGGCAGATCCGTTTAGCTAGGACAAAAGGAGTACAATTCCGAAGTTTTAAGAAAAAGATTGCTATGGAGGTGGTTGGTGACTAAATGATAACCAGTTATCTGCAAGTTTTATGTATTGCTCTATCCTCTCATGTACAGTGGAGAGGGGAAGCTTATAGGATGGGGCTGTTGACTTTCCATAAACTACTGTGACTTTTAGCTCTCCATTTGTTTTAGTGCCTAAAAGAAAGCTAGGGCATGTAAAGTACAGGCACAGGAGCCTGAAGCTTCTCTTTGACTCTGGATTTTAAAATTTATGAACAATTTGTTCACTAAACATTTCTGCAGCACACCTCCAATTCTGCAGGTTTTTTATGATTAAGATTGAGATACAATATTGGTATTGGAAAAATGCCTTGGATTAGTTTGAGTGAGATCCTCTGTACACCTATAACCTGGTGTCTGTATTTCCAGTAAGTGGTGGTGGAGGGAGGCACTGTGAGTGGCCTAACTTGACTCTGGGCTCAGTGCCAGTGCAGTCAGGTGTACTGCTATAGCAGGCTGGAGGCACAGTCTCCTGCTGCTCTTCTTGAACTGCCCCTGGGACCTCACCTGCTTAGAAATTAATCTCTCTCAGGTGTGCTCCCTTCGTCATTTGTACCTGACACCTCCCCCCTGGTCTCTGTGTATTTCCTTTTCCTGTGATATTTTTTGAGAATTGGAGTTGCCTGTGTGCAAGAATATCAGACTTGCATAACACAGCAATTTATTATACTGAAACAATATAGCAGCCATTCAGGTTGTTATTTGCTATTATCATATTCTGCATTTTGTCTCCTAATGTGTGCTAACTCCTTAACATGTTCTTAATGAAGCATTTAATTTGATTTTCGTTTTCTTCACCTTTCTCTATTGAAAATGTAGCTACCAAGGGAAAAATGCATCAAATGCAGAAGCATATATAAGTGCTTTGATGTGTCCTATTATTTTGGTTATGTTACATGCTCACTTGTTAAAGGAAATTATGTAAAATCAGGGTAAGAAAAATTTGGAGTTGAAAATAGTGTGAATATTTTCAAATGAGAGCTTATCTGCTCCCACTGCTTACTAAGATTTTTGTCAATATCTGGTATGAGGATGTCTCCAACCAGAATAGTCTGGCTCAATAGCAGATTACTTGAGCTCCTTGTTGGAGTATCTGGGTGAAACTAGCTGGTGTTTTGCATGAGGCCGGCCTGGATGCTTACAGTAACTCTGAACTTTGAAAGCTCTCATGTTCACAGATTACTCAGGTAATGGCTGCTTTGCAGCTCAGATGTCACAGGAGTGTTTGCAACTGCTGCGAATCATCTCTTACGTGTGCTGGGGTTCAAAAACTTTCTGGGTAAACTGGGTGTTAATACTCCTGAAAAATATGTATATCTCAAATCTTATACAGTGTTTTTTGTTTCTGTTCTCTACAGTTGAAACTCGAGGTATTTGCCATTTCTTCTACCAAATAATTACCAAATACTTAAAACAGAATTTCATTCTTGGTAACTGGAGTTTGTTTCCTTTGTTCTCGAATAGAAGAAAAAGTAATAACTACTTGAATAAACATTTTGATGTAGATTCAAAGGTGTTCCTATTGTTCTAGTCATCACTGTCCTTTTTGCTTATGAATGCTTGATCAAGCATATCTGAGCTGGGAGTGAGGTGGTGGTAAGTGGATTTGGGTGAGAGATCCTGAGATTGCTGAAACTTCCTGATGCCTTCGAGCAACCACTTGTGCCTCGGACATTTTATAAAGGAGTTTCCAACTTGGGAGAATTAATTATCCCTCCAAGGCAAATCTTGTGTGGTATAACTAAAAAGAGACCTGATGAAAGAGCATGTTGTTTTAATTTCCTAAAGTTAATAGCATAATAGGAAGACCTTAATCAAGCTTGTGCCTGGGTGCTTAGCAAAGAAATCTGCTACTGAGTGATGAGCAGGCTGTGAGGGATTGGTGTGTTCATGAACCAGAAAAATATCAGTGATGTTTGTCCTGCAGCATCTGCCAGGATACACCTCACAGGAATACTTGAAGCTGTTGAAAACAGGTTAAATGTGGCATGAGCACTTCAGTTCTTCCACTCTGTTCTCCATCTTACTATGTCTTGCAGGAGCTGTGGAAGTGAGATGTTCTGGGGCTCGGTTGCATACTAGTTCAATTTGGATTTCATGCTATTTTACTGCCCTGGAAGGGTATTGTATGCATTATTAAACTGAGTTCTTGTTTAACATTGTTATGGTGGTGACTTAAGAAGTAAGGAAGGGACAGAAATGAGTATATGTCTTGGAAAAGGTGAGGGAGAAGGCAAAGGAGTGGGACAAGGAAACAAATGCGAGGCAGAAGGAGTGAACCACGTCTGAAGTGACAAATTCTTTGTGAGTGTATTGGCTTGGAGCAGCTGCTCCTATCCTCTCCAGAATGAGTGCTGATGCCTGCCAGAAACTGCAGGTTTAAAGTGTGCATTGCAAAGTTCCTGTCCCAGTGCAAAGCTGCAGAGGTTAGAATCAGTTTTAAGAACTGTGGCTTTTAATTATGGCCCCACTTCATTTTGATGTCTGAAAACAATGTTGACTTGATTGTTGGCCCACTGTAACCACAGGTATTGGGCAGACAAGCTATGTCTTCTGAGCCTTAATTATTGCCTGTGCCATGGTAGTACCTGATGCTGGATTGGAAGCCTGAAAACTTACTGGTACAAATGATGCAGAATTTTACAGGAAGGTGGGGGGGAAGTAAAAATCTTCATAGTGGTAGTGGACTCTGTGTGTGGTGTTTTATCAGTGGTGAGACTGAGAAGGGGCCAGCAGTTAAATCATTTACTGCTGTCTGACAGAATTTAGTTCTATTGGTTCTGTTTTCCCTTAATTTGCCACATGAGGAATTAATGAGTGAGGAACAAAAGGTGAAAAGTAAGTATGTATCTTAAAACATGTATCAAGATCTGATAGTTTGGGCAATGAGAAGCAAAGCCTTTCCATTTTTATTAAATATCCTTGACTGTTGAGGAATTGGTTTGGTCTTGACTTTGTTTGAGGAAGATTAAAGTAAACACTTTTATCTGTTACTTCAGTCTGTCTGGTTAAAACGTCCAGGGGTAATTGAGTCCAGGGTTTACAGATGGGCAAACATAAGTTTCAAGTAATCAGATTTTTAGCTTAGTCTACTGTGGAGTTTCACACAGATGATAGATGAGCTAAATTTGGATTTATTTGGTATGGGCTTTTTTGTTTCTTTGTAGCTGGTACAGCTCAATAGCATCCTGGAAACTTGCTGATTATGTCTGCAGGCTACACTTACTAGTTTGCAATGTATTCCCTGCATTTTGGAGGCAGGGAATAAAACAAAATAATTACCTTGGGAATAACTCTTTAGTAAAGTTGTGATGGGGAAGAATGTCTGTGCTGAAACGTTGAGCTGTAAGCTGTGCCACCATAATGTGGCTGTGCCAGGTGGTTTCTCTGATAGAGTGACTCTAAATCCTGGTTGCATTACTGACATATTACATGACCATAGTGGTTTAAATCTGTGTTCGTGAAGCAAAAATTATGATACTTGCCTCACTAGGACAGCCTGTAGATAATTACTTTGTTAGGTCTCTTCACTGACATGACAGTCCTTCCAGTTTTGTTCCTCTTCTGGTAAATGCAGCCTTACCAGCATCCTCCATGACCTCTCACCTTGTTGGTTCCGAAGTAAATGGGCAAAACTTGCAACTTGTTTTTGAGACACCTGTTTGGAGAATCTAGAGTAGTTATAATGAACAACGTTGTGGGTACAAAAACCCCACAAAACTGTGTACAGCAAACTTGAGGCTTCTGAAATCATTATGTTCTGACTGAAGAAATGTCTTTATAGACAGATCATGAGCTTACTTTTGAAGATAATTGCCAGAGTAACCTCAGTTATTTCCAAATGAGTTTTTGTTTGCTTTTCTGAGAGATCTCTTCCGTAGCATCAGGAAGATTTCAACTGGAGACCATCTCTGACCTGGATGTTAAAAATGGATGTTTCTGTAGGGATATAGGGAATAGATTAGTTTGCCCTCTCTAGTTTTCAATGCCTTTGTAGTTTCCCTGTCCTACAGCTCAGCATTTTTTCAAACTTTCACATCAGTGCTGTGGTTTCTTTTTGGGATTATTGTTTGTGTTTTAAATGATTTTAAAAGTAATTATATGAGTAAGGACTTGTCTGAATTGTGATACAGAAGGTGACCAACAGTAGTCATAAAGAAAGTACTATTACTACATCCATAGCAGATAACCATTTCTGCTTAGGTGTGAAAACTGATTTTAAAAGAAAACTATTTGGATCCCCATGCAATGAGAAACATCTCTGGGGATGGAGAGAGAAGATACATGAAGGATGTTGTTCCAATGGTGCTCAGATATTAATCCAGGCTGCCAGAAAAAACTACTCAGCCTTTAAAGGAAGGCAGAAGTGACTTGAGCGGAAAATCCTTACTGATTATTATTTCTCTCTTAATCTTGCAGCTGATTGCAATGCCGTTCTTAAAGCTCTACAGCCCATTTTTCAGGAGCAGGGAATGACAGAAACAGTTCATAACTGGGAAGACCATGGTTATTTAGCAACCTACATCAAAAAAAATGGCAGGTGAGTGGATTTTATCCCTGTAGATTATATTCCCACTGTCTTCCCTTACAATATTTATTTCTCCTCATGTTGGGTTTCCTGTGGTGTTGACAGGGCAAGCTGTTGCATATGAAGTAGCTAAAATAAAGCAAACTGTTTATAATCTGGAGTATGTCATCTTGCAGTTTGGATATCAGAACAGTTGAACTGACCAGTCTGGTCTGTACCACAGTGTGGTGCCTTGGTCTCAGGACCAGTCCTTCCAGATGCAGGACAGCTCAAGTCAGTTAAATGTATTTGTAATTCTTCTTGCCTCAAAATGTCTAAATATGTTCTAGTCTAACCTTAGCATGTGAATAATGAAACCTTTCTGTCCCTGTTTTGTTGTGTGTTCAAATGCTATATTCTATACTTCAAATTATCAAGCAGCTACTGAAGTAACTAACAGCATGATAAGGGTGATTGGTGTCATTAGTGACACACATTAAGCTCAGTCTGCTGGGGCAAACAGGTGAGAAAAACCACATTCACTTTATTTCCTGATACTGCTTTACAGTGTGAGGATTAGTTGATTATGGTTCCATTAGTCTGTGAATTTTATTGCACTTCATTTGTTTATAGTTGTTCAATTACTTCTTCTTCATGTCCATTGTGGCAGTTGCTGCTTTTGGTTTTTTTTTTTCTTTTGGTGGTTGGATTTGGGATTTGTGATTGATTTATTTTTTTTTTATCTCTACTTACTTTGTTCTCCAGGATTGAAATTAAGCTAAATAAGCTTTAATTTTTTGGCTATCTTCTGCTGGGTGTTCAATTAAGTAGCTCATTTGGCCACATTTGTAACATACGAGAACTGCTAAGGATTTTTAAGCTCTCTTTGTAATAAGAGAGAACAGGTATCTCTAGAAGGAAAATCATATCCTAGGTGTGTGTTTTGCCTGCTAGAATTTGTCTGTGTATTTACTGTGTTTGTACATATTTGTATGTACATCTTCATATCTATCTATTTTATATATATAAAATAGTTTAGAGAACTACACTGGCAAGCTCGGGACCCAAATTAAGATAACAAGTAAGCTGATGTGAGTCTAGTCTTATGTTTATCATTCCCAATTGTGCTCCATTAAGTGCTTGGTATAATTCAGTTAGCTTTTTCAATGTGGCACTGGCTTTTTCTGATTTAAATTATTTGTTTTCTATACTTGATGTACCTATAAAGCCTTGTTACTTATATCTTGGTTTTGTACAGCCTTGCTTATTCTGTCTTTGTTATGTGTGCTTTTGTATTCTTCCTAAATAATTCCAATTCTGGATAACCTTTTGTTTCTGAGGTCAGTGAAAAGATAGCAAAATTTACTACTCTGGTGCTATCCTTCCTCTATCCTTACTTGGTTAAGCTTCTAATTAATTCTCCTAAAAAGATAATATCCAGGATATACAACCTCTGAACAAATTAAAGATAAAATACTAAAAGTAAAAAAAGCCTTAGAAGATTTAAAGGTTGACTTTCTTTAACTACATGTACTTTATTTGCTTTCCTGTGTTTCCTTGAGTTTGAAAGTGACATGAGATGTGAATTCTCAAACTGGGTTTCCCCATTGCAAGGTCATCTGATCATTCCCCTTAAGAGGACAGCCCCTTCTAAAGGAACAGTGTCCAGAGTTAAAATTATCCATCTTTTGACGTGTTCCAGGAACTTTCTAGAGAACAGATTTTCATTGTATAACTTTTCCAGGAGGTAGTTGAACTGGCACATGGAAGCATCTCTGAGGAAAAAGGTCCTTATGAAACTCTAAATTTTAAAATATTTAACTTGATTTCTCTTACTGCACTGCCAACTGGAAATACTTACTGCTGCAAATTTCGTTGTCTTTGTCAACTGCTGGAGTATAATACTATTGAATGTGTGAAGGGAGAGAAGATGTCAAAGTTGATTTCTCTGTGTAGGAAGGGTAGGGAGTAATTAATGGGAGAGACAAACCAGTGCACTGGTGTACAGTGCTCTCATGGATACAGAAGAGTTGGTCAAGTTGCCAGTTTCCCTGGTAAAGCACAGACCACATATGAATAACCTTATTGCTCTGAGTATAGGCTTGGCAATGTATTGGAGAAATATAAATTAATGAAATCTACCTTTGTTCAGTTTTTGGTTGCTTCAGAACTGTCCTCATGTGGATAGCATCCTGTTCTCCTCACTTCCCCCCAGTGCCCTACCATGCTGTTTCCTGAAAGCCATGTGTAATAGATGAGCTTCAGCAATTGCTGAGCTCTGGGACACATTTCTAAGTGGGTTATTTCCTGTGTGTTTTGCTTTCATTAACCTTGTACTTTCCAGCATCGTGACACTTTGAATAGTCCAGCTTTTCACTATGCAGCTAAATGCAACCTTTTACACCAGAGAATGGTTCACAATATTCTTACTATGAGAGGGTGAAGAGGGGGAAAGTGGGCCTAGTGGGCTTCCTGTTGGGAAAGGGAAGGGTCTGTTTTGTTGGGGTGTGGTTCTGTGTACCCCTGGCCATTGTTTACCGTTGAGCTTCTAAGAGAAGCTATCCAGGAGAGCATGCTAAACATAATGAAGAACTGCAGTTTGGGATACAGCCTCAAAACTGAAGATTGAAGAACAAGAGTGCATGGAAGAACTGAATATTAATGAGATAACTCTTTGCAAATGAACAATTCTTTTTCTAATACAGTATTAAATGTAAATTAATAAAGTGGTTATTGCTTCCTCCTGGTGTATTCATTGCTGGCTGAGCTCCAGTGCACACTGTATTTATCTTCCTTGAAAATTGCCCTCTTTAACCAGCACCACTACAGACAGTAAGTTGTCCAGCTAAAGTACCTTCTGTGCTTTGCCAGCCCCATTGAACTGGTCTGGGGAATGCACGTGCAGGAGAACTTTGAGTTTTGGGACCTCAGCAATTTTGTTCCCTGTGGTTACAGAAACGGCGTATGCCTTTTTTTAACAGAAACATGCTGTTTAAGGTTGCCTTAATGTAGTTTGTTTGTATTTATTTGATGTTGTTTCAGTTAACTGAAACAAATGAAGATGTAAACCCATAAAACCTAATAGACTGGACAGTTAAACCCTGCAAAACAAACACATTTCATGAGTTGTAAGAATGAACTTATGAGCACATGGAGGTTTTGATACTAGCTAAAGAGGCTTTATTTTAATACTAGCACATTTGTCTGCTTTTTATCTTAGTGACTTCAAATGTCATACATTTGAAATGAACATAAAAATATTACCTGACACAACTAGGAAGAAATTAGCCAGCTCATGCAGATTTTTCCTCTTCCCTTCAAAACAGAAGTAGCTCATACTAAAAACTCAAAAAACTGTGATGAGGGGTAGGTATGTCATGAGCAGTTTCCTCTAAGGATGACTAGGTGTAACCTGTGACAAGTTCCAGAGGATGAAAGGTGCAGGAGTTGATGTTGAATGTGAGTAGGGGGGTCGTGAGTATGTGCACATAAACAGACTTTTAGCCAGCCAAACGTGACTGAGCCATTGCTAGACAAAGATACACAGCTGATGTAACAAGTTGGGCACTAATCTCTGGAAAAAAATATTTGAGGTGAGATAGTAATATATTGCTAAACAGTGTCTACACTGCAAAGTCTGCAGAGATAACCCCCACAGCCTGCAGTGTGCCCCGTGCTGGAGTGTTGAACTGTGGGCACTGCTCTTGACAAAACTTTTTCTCTGACAAAGATAGCACGTGAACATCCCCATGGAGGGCTTCGGTCGTGAAACGAATTGGAGCTGATTTGGGGATTAAGACATGCTTTCCTGTTGTCATTATGAAGCAACAGATCCCTGTTTTCCTTTGTCCAAAGCTAAGCAAGCAAAAGTCACATGTGGCAACTCTACCTGGTCCATTTACTTGGTGATTTACTCTAACAAAGGACCTAATTGAGGGAGGTCCAGCTGAAAACTTTTACTAATGGGGTTGTTGACACAAGACTCTGGAGTCGGGCAGGAAATGGGTCACTTGAGCCACTCAAGTTCTTGTCTGTAGTGGTGGGGATGGATACACCTCTCTGCTTTGCCATCCCCCTTGCTCAAAGCTGCTTGGGGAACAATTGTACATACAGGAGAGGAGCTCTGTGTCTGAGTTTTGGGGCCCCAGCAGTCTTGTTTTGCTGAATCTGTTTCCGGATCACTTTCAGAATGTTTTCAGGGTCCCATTAAGCAACATGCTTTTACTGAAGTGCCAGTTACCTCCCTTGGATAGGACAGTTAAGAGTTTGTTTTAAAAAAATGTGAAGTTTTTATTTCATTTAATGTATATAGTACTTTGTATAGAATCATAGTGCCCAGTATATTTTAAAAGATTGACAGGAGTTGTTAAAGTTAGGGCAAGGAGAAAAATCATTAAAATATAGTATTAAGAAGATACCAATTTCCAAGTACTAGCTTAAATATCATCACTGTTTTGAGAGCAAGTGTTTTTCTGTTACAGTGTTGTGGTGGGGGGAAACAGTTTTCCCCCCTGAAGTTTTAAAATGGTAAAACCCCAGGGGGTGGTGACCCTTAAGTTTTGAGGTTTTACCCAATGAGCACTTTTGCAAAATATAAACATATCACAAGCAGAGAGGAAGAGAAGGTTGTAGTTGTAGTTGTTGTAGAAGAAGTAGCCATGTTGTAAGACCACGAGGAGTGAGGGTAGGAGCCCCTGGGGGGCTCTGGCCCCCCCAGCCCCGGCTACAGGGGCGGCAGGGTCTTGGAACAGCGTTAGGCTCGGCTATGTATCTGTGGCTGAAAACTAAAGAAGTTTTCTCCACCGTGAGTGAGCAGACAGAGCAACAGCGGCGTCCAGAGATTGTGGCTAAGAGCCAAGAGATAACTGAAGAAGCAGCAACAAACATATAGCCAAGGAAGACACAGAGCTGTCTGAGAGAGCTGAGAGAGAGCCAGCAGCAGAGAGAGCACAGCTAAGCTCTACAGAGACGGAGTTGGGGTAAGAAACTGAACCAAAAACCCCAAACTCCTTTTGTGACCTTTCCTAAGTGGA